GAGTGGAGGGGGGTCCCCCACCCCAGGATGCTATTGCTGTGGCCCCCACTTTCAGGATGACGAAATAGCCAGTTCCCCGGAGAAGAGGCGCCTTCATCATGGGGGCTGTCCTGGGGGAGAGCTGTGAAAAGCCCGCTTGTCTTTAGGACCTCGGTCCTCCTCTTTCGGATTTGAATTCTGGCTCTGCCACGAGTGCTGCATGCCCTTTGGCAAGCCATGAAAAGAGAAGTGACTAGAGTATGTGGTGCCTACTATATGCCAACTTTCGAGCTGGCCTTCTCAGCTGGAGTGTAGGTTCTTTCTCGCCAATAGAACCTGCTTTAATTCAGGCATCCGCTGTCCCCTAGCCAGCCTGTGCTTCAGCTCAGGTTAGGCCCATTCTTAGCTCCAGAAGGTGGGTCCTGATTAGTGCAAGCCAATCACGGTGGTCTTATTCCTCTTACCTGTGACTGCCTTAAGCATGGGCATGCCACCCAATTCTGGCCAATGAGATTATAAGGGGAAGTTTATTAGGGGTGCTTCCAGGGAAAAGGCTTCTTATCTCATTCTCCCAGGAGGAGGTCATCTCTTAAACCTCTGGAGATTGTGCCTGGAACCACTGCAAGCCCCAAAGCTGACAACAGCAGGGAGGATAGCAGAGCAGAGAGGTAGAAAGAACCTGAGTGTTTGGGGGTGTCATCAAGCTGCTAAATGAACCATTGCTGGAGCCAGCCTGCCTTGTGATTTCTTGTTTTGTGGGTGCCTTGCTTCAGTATGTGATATCAATTGGAATTGTGAGATAGTTCGCATGTAAATTTGTGTTGGATAATATTGGTGCATTATTAAGCATCTGTTGTCTAGTTTTGCCTTGAAATGCCCTGTACTTCCTGAATGTAGAGATTAGAGGACTGAAGACTGAATGGGTGCCTTTGGAGATCTCTGGTTTTCTAATAAGAAAGAAACGAGGAACTGCCCCATCTGGACCTCCCAGCTCAGCTCTTTGCCTGAGGGAAAAACTGATTAATGTAGGACTGTCAGTTCTTTCTGGTGTCAAGAAGAGGAAGATTAGAAAGAAGAAGGAGAAGAAGAAGGAGAAGGAGGAAGAGGAGGGGGAGGAGGAGGAGGGGGAGGAGGAGGAGGAGGAGGAGGAGGAGGAGATTAAAGGCCTACATCTCCCCTCCCTAACCACTCCCAAGCCAGCAGCTGAGGCCACTGAGATGCGTGTCCCTTGTCCAGGTCTGAGATGCTGGAGGCAATGGGCAGGGAGGAGTCCAGAGGACTCCCAGCTTGCGGTGTCCCATTTGACTAATGTGTTTTTACCAAGTAGGCCTCTGCTTAATATCCTGGGGGTCAAGTGCTCAAGTTCAAATAACCCCCGGGGAGCCATAGGGAGACAGGAAATGGCTTGTCCCTACGGGGACCCACAGGGCTGCGGGAGGCCCCGGCACAGTGGAGCCCCGATGTGGTCAGAGCCATCTGGTCTCTCCAAGGACAGCCTCACCAGCCTGAGGACTCTGCCAGGAGGAGGCGGGGAGCTCCGTTGGATTTCCCCAGGGCTTCTTCCTCCTCTGGAAATAAAGCGTGTTCTCTGGGAGGCAGGGCCTTTCCCATTACCTCAGCCAGGAGAACACTCAGAACAGAAACGCAAGACGGAATCTGCCTCAGTTCACATACTGGCTGCGCCATTGCCATTTGTGCGCTGGGGCCTTCATGATGTGGCCCCCTCCACCTGGGAGACCCCCAGCACCCTTCCCGCAGGAGGGTCAGGAGTGTCCTGGAGCGCCCTGGCCAGGCACATGGGAGGAGCCGAGTAGAGGGGAGCTGTCACCATAAAGTCCAGTTGCTCCGTGAGGCGTCCAGCGGCCTTTTCCTCTCGTAACGTCCCTGTTTGTAGGTCAGGCTGTATGTCTCATATTCCGACCCCCCCAGTCCTGATGCTCACAGAGCCCTCGCCTCAGCCTTGGGAGGCAGGCGGTCCTCTACCACTGGTTCCATGGGGTCAATCCCTCTGCGTTAAGGAGGCTCGGGAGCAGCGGAGCACGTGTCAGCTCTGTGTAAGGAAGACAGGTATGTTCTCAGAATCCCCCCAACCCCACCACCAGGTGGACAGCCTGCGGTCCCCATGAGGAGAACCAATGAGGGCAAGTCATTCTCCATCCCCCCCCAGTTCCCAGCTCCCCAGTCTGGAGAACCAGGGCTTGTGGGGCTGGAGCTGGGGCTGGGGCTGGGCCAGGGAGGGGTGGGCAGGGAAGTGGGCTGCCAGGCAGTCCTGGGGCACTGGTGCAAGGCTCTAACTCACAGAGAGAGAAGAGTGGGTGGGCAGCGAGGGGCCTGGACTGTCTCATCCAGTAGGGAGGACATTCTGGTGCTCATTGATGAAGGTGACAACACTGGCCAGAGTAGAAAGTAACAGCTCCCAAGGCCTCTGGGGCAGAACTGAGGGCTGAGGGGCACTAGGGCAGCTCCCCAAGCTTTTGCCCCTCTCTGAAGTGTGCCCTGGGTGTGCCTCCTGCTGAGAGGA